TACTGGATTGTGAAACTCTTTCCTTGTGTAACACCTATTAGCATCCAGGGGATATAGGGTTGCCCAGAGCCTACTGTGGAAAACAGGGAGACTGGCCATTTCTGATACTTTGTGACTCTCCATTGGTTTGAGCAACATACGAAATTTCCAGCAGCCTGCTGCCCTCGTCAGAGCATTGCTCTCCTCATGGTGTCAGAGACATGCAGCCGGGCCTGTGTGAGCTGTCACAACCCACTCCAGCTCATGGGCTGTAGCTCAAGCCCAGGCCCTGGATCTGAAAGCCTCCTGGAGACTTCTGGCTGGACAGAACCTCCATGGAATATGGACTCCATCCCCAGCACCTCCACTAGGCTGGAGTCTCAAAGGCCAACATTGCATGCCAGTTTCTTTTCACAAAATCCCTGAGGAAGGACATTTTACAACTGCCTCCTGCAGTTTATTTCAGGCTCAAGCCCACATTTAAGTTTAAGCAAATCCCTCTTGCTGCAGTGACAAGCCAGAATTCACATGTTGCTTAAGATTTATTGTGTCCTCTTATAAAAGAAATGAACATTCTCTAGGGCTTCATTTAGTGGCTGAGAGGTCAGCACATAGGAGTCTCCCTGGAGAGAGCAGGGTGTGCCACAGATTCCTGATATGCTCTTAACCCCAGGGGGCCTCAGTTTCCTCCTCTGCTGAATGAAAATAAGGATCCCTGCTCTATTTCGCCCTCATTCCTGGGGCATCGGGGGGCACAGAATCAGTCTGTGACCACTATAATGCTATGCAGAATCACTATGCAACCACTATAATTCACAGGCACATGAATTAAACACCCTGCACTGGGGAGAAAGAGAGGGAAACAAGTAAGACTTTAAATAGACCTGAACACGCAACAGGAGACGTGAATCCACTGTTCCGTACAGCTCCCAAGTACGCCTCACAATGTGCGCATCTCACTGTGATTTTAAAATGTTTAAAAATATCTAATTTTTCATACATCACGGTCTTGAAATGCAAACCAACTACTTCATCTGGTACTGAACCAAGGGAAGAGAGCCCTGCCGCCACATTGGGAAACACCGCCTGCCAAGGGTTTCTTCGTGGGCATCATGCTGGTCTCCCTGGCGCACCCTTCTGGGGAGTTTTCAGGGGTAATAGTGTTGACTGTGTGTCTGCCACACGCCGCCCTTAAGCCAGACCCCGCAAAAGGTGCCTCCTCTGGGCAGGTGCAGGGCTCCTTACTCGAAGCGCCCGGCCGCCGGGCACGCTCCGCCCGGGGAGGGGCGCAGAAGGCTTGCTGCGCGCAGGAAGCCCTGCGTGACCAGCCCTGTCTCCCTAGACGCTGGCCCGACCGTCGTGGACAGCGGAGCCGGCGGGGAGGCCCCCATCGGCTTGCTCCCCAGCGGCCGCTGGGCCCCAGCCCCCCAGGCGGTGACCGCGGGGACGCGCCTGCGGTTGTAGCGGCGCGCGCGGCCGCTCCAGTCTCATTCATGCCGCAGCCCATTCACCCGGCGGCCCCGCACCGCACGCGCTGTGCGGGGCAGTTATTTTTGGCCGCAGGCGAGCTTGTGAGCGAGGAGGGAGCCGGCGCGCCGCTCTCCGCTGCCCGCGGGGATCTCTCCCGTCCTGGCCCCAAGTGCTCCCAGGCCTTGCGGGGTACGGGCTGAGCGCGGGGCGAGGCACCTGCATCACCTCCCCTCGTGCCTCACTGCCGCCTTTAGGGGAGGCGTCATGAAGCCCATCTCATAGCTGCGGTATTGATGGGTAGAAATGGTAAGAAAAATGCCCCAAATCAGACAGTAAGTGGCAGAGCCGGACTGGGAACCCCAGTCTATCAGAGCCACCGCGAAACCTGTTGCCTCTCTCCTGGAGGTGATTATCCGATTTCACTCACCTTGGCTCATCCTTAGGATGCTTTCCTGCAACCCCAGCACCTGACCGAGTCCCCCTGAACACGTGACTTGGATGCTCCGAGCAAGGCACTGAGTCCAGGCCATCCACTGCCTCTCCGGGCTCCCGCTCAAACCTTTTGTCACTCAGACCTCAGGCTTCTTTCCCAAAGTTTTGCGCTTTCTCAAGAGTGCTCTTAATACACACCCGCACCCCCCCCCCAACACACTGTAGCTATCTGTAGTATCACGGAAAGGTCACTGATGATGTCAGAAGTCCTGGGTTCAAATGCTACTAGATACCATCCATATCCAGCTTTGCAACCCTCCGCAATCCTCTTTGAGTGTCAGTGGTCCCCTCCATGCAAAGGGAGAAATACTATTCGCCCCACCAGCTCAGTGGGCTTGTCCTAAAGACAACTGATTAAAGGCACATTATAAACTGTAAAGTGCGGTCCCCACATCAGGTATTACTAAGCACTTTGTGTTATGGCCTATTGGATCTCATCTTTGGCCCTGGTTAAGCCTGGGTCAAAAGGACTGCCAGGAGCCGGGCTGTTTCTGGCCTCTGCTCTGGGAAAGATTGTCTCTTTCCCCAGGAGAAACCTACTTGACTCTTTGACCCTTCTCGGAGATTTTCCTCATGATCAGTTTATCCAGCTCCAGAGCAAGCCTCTGGCCAGCCATGCACCGCAGCCAGAGCAGGGCGAGCCCTGGCAGCTGCCTCTGGGAGCCTCGGGGTTAATGCTTGTGCGTCAAAGTTACGTTGAGAGAAGGGGCCACAGGGCGGTTGGGGGTGGTGGAGAATCTAGACCTCCTTTTAACATCTTTACCTGCCAGCCCAACTGGGGAAGTTTAAAGACAGAAGGGAGCCCGACGCGCTCCTGGGGAAGGGGAAGGAGCGGTCTTGTGACTGAGAGCAATGAGTTCTGCATCCTAACGGAGCCCAGGCGGGACCTGGAGCTGGAGCCTGTCCATGGACCCCACCGGGAGGGGCTGAGACTGGTCCGCTCCCCTGGGGGTTGCAGAGCCACAGGCTGTTTACAAACTGCCTTTTTGCCCACTGGCTCCCTTAATCCTCCCAACAACCCAGACAGGTAGGCAGAAGGGCACTGCTCCTTGCCAGATGGGGTCAGAGAGGTTAAGAGATGAAGGATGGGCAGGAGGCAGGGATGTGCAGATGGACAGCCCCTCCCAGCCCCGGAGCCCTGAGGATTGCCCCTAGAATGCAGCCTGCAGGCGGGCATTGCAGGAGGGACAGACACCGATATTTTGCCCCCCTCTCCCTGCTCAGAAGTGCAAGCGGTTCCCACTCACGCCAACCCTGAAGTGACGGTAGATGGCTCTGCATGGACGTGCCACTGGGCCCCCAGTCAGACTTATTTTCCAAGGCAGCTACAACTTACCCTTGATACCACAAGAGTCAGGCAAGACTGGAAATGGAGCTGAAATGAACAAAATCCCCAAGTTGCTTGCAAAAGTGGCTCTTCACACACATCTCTAGATGCCGCCTGCCTCCTACTAAGCCTAGGAAACCTCCCCAAACCAAGAAAAGAATCAGACTTATCTTACCCGGAGACTCAGAAGGAATGGTGCTCCTGGTGCTCCTACTCCAGCTCCTACAGGTCTGTGAGGATTAGCTGCTCCAGTGCTTTAACAATAAACCGAATTAAAGGGGAGGAATGCAGGGGTTTTCTTTCCCAGGACCGTAACCAGGCAGTCTTAAAGGGGAGGAAAAGTAGCCATGGTGGCTTGCATCTCCTGCCTTTTCTCTGCTTTGCTTTCCCTCCCTCCCAGCAGCATTGAGTCTGATCCAGAAAACTGCTTTTGCAAAGGGCCCTTTTATGCCTTGTGTGTGTGTGTGTGTGTGTGTGTAATTGTGTTTGCATTGATGTGTGTAATGGAAAGAGAGGGAGGAAGAATAAAAAGCAAATATAAAGCCTCATATTACAGGTTTCCATTGGCCTGAATGGGGTGGTAACAGAAAATCAGAGCAGCTTTCTAGGACTGCCTGCCTCAGTTTCTCTTTTCAGTTGCTGGAGTGTGTTGTGTAAAAACACCTTCTGGGGCAATAGGATATCTACACTGGTTGAAATGTAGGGATTGAAGACCCCTCTGTGTCCATTTGTCTCTTATAGAATGGGAAGAGAAGCAGGGGGACCCTCTGTTGGGTGGTTCTTCCCCACATCTCTGATATGTCTCCTCTTCGCTGTTTCTAGAAGCACAGCATCCTGATCCCAAAAACCTACCATCCTCTTTTCAGTCCTAACCCATTAGACCTTAGGAGATCACTCCCCTTCTTCTGGAAACTCTTCTGACTCTGCTCCCCTGTATTCACCTCTCCATCCTGCTCTTGATCATCTCAGCCTCCTTTTGGCTGCTCCTTCAGTGTAGGTTCCTTGAACTTCTGTCTTCTGCCCCCTTGCTTTCTCTTTCTCTACTCTTTCCTTAATCTCAACATCCACTTACAGGGTCTGTTACCCTCATCATGTGAATATCCCCAATCAACACCCCCATCTGGGTTGTCCACCTTAACCTTAACATCCGTATGTCCACTTCCATCTACAAATAATCCTGAATGTATAATAGCTTCCTTTAAACCACTCTTCTCCCATTTCCCCATCCAGGCTGCAGAGCTACCATCTTCCCAAACACTCATGTTAGAGAGCCAGGCACTTTCTTTGGCTGTGTTATTTCTTTCATTGCCTTCCAAATCCAATCAGCTGTTATGCACTTTCAGTTGTTTCTTTGAATTAGCTTTTAAATTGTGTCTTTTCAATTATTTAAAAATAATTTGTGCTTTTTGAATAAATAGCACAGTCATTTGGGTCAGAAATCAGAACTATATTAAAAGACATACACTGAAGTGTCTCACCCCACTCCACTTCCCCTCCACCCCCTCCCCCCTGCCCTGCCCTCTATAGGTGGCCACTCTTATTAGTTTCTTGTATATCCCTCCAGTATTTCATGTGGATGCAAGGAAAAGGATATAGATATAGATACATAGATAGATACAGCTATCGATAGATATATATGGATATCCCCTGCCATCCTTTTTTACACAAACGGCAGTAAGTAAATGCTGCCTCTTTTTTTTTTTTTTTAAGATTTTATTTATTTATTTGACAGAGAGAGACACGCGAGAGAGGGAACACAAGTAGGGGGAATGGGAGAGGGAGAAGCAGGCTTCCCGCGGAGCAGGGAGCCCGATGCGGGGCTCGATCCCAGGACCCTGAGATCATGACCTGAGCCGAAGACAGACGCTTAACGACTGAGCCACCCAGGCACCCCGATGCTGCCTCTTTTATATTTTCATCTCTACAATTTTAATTCAGGCCTTCCTCCCCTTCTGTCTGGTGCTACTGTGATAGACTAGGCTCTACTGGTCCCTGGGTGAGGTGATCCATTGGGATAGATAAAAGTGGCTCTAGAGAAGTCTCCTAGGTTAGATGGATGACTGGAGGTGTGGCCTTGGACAAGTGATTTAACCAGTCTGTGCCTCATTTTTCCCATCTGTGAAATGGGATAATTCCTGAACCTATTTCATACACTAGTAGGGCAGAGTGAGACAGAACGCTAGTTGCGTAGAACAGCGACTAGCATATGGTAGGGTCAGTATTACTGTTTTTTCTCCATTCCAGTTTTCGTTCTTGCTGGAATTATCTCAATGAAACATATTGATTGCTTCCACCTCAAAAAAAGATCTATTACCTACAGAATAAAGGCCAAACATCTTAGCCCATCATTGGAGGCATTCCAGGATCTGGCCCAAACTATCCCCTCTCCCCTCAGTCCCTCCATTGGGACTCCATTGGAGCTGACACTCCAGCCATACCATATGAGACACTGATTTCCAACACGCCACTTTTCTCAAAGCTCCTGACCTTCACTTGTACTGGTCTACTAATACAGAATGCCCTTTCCTCATTCTCTGCCTATGGAAATTCCTCAGATTTGAAAAATCCTCATCAAATACTATCTCATCCATGAAACCTTCCATGATTTTCTAACTTCCTCACAAGTAGTCACTCCTTCCTCTGTGTTGTTCCCCAAACTCTTTGTCTATAGCTCTCCCTGGTTCTTTATATGTTTCTGTCTTGAATTTTGGCCTGTGTTTCCACTGCTTAGATTCCCTGGGTACAGCATCCCTGACTAGCAGCTGTCCTCCTTCTGTCTGAACACTGGAACTGGGGAGTTTATCACAGCCTGAGACAGTCAAGTAGTGCCCACAGGCAAAACGTGTGTTAAAAAGTTTATCTCCAGAGGGAGCTGAATGCAGCCAGCACACACGAACGAGCACTCGTTCCTTAAATATTTATCAACACTGAGTGTGTACTAGGTATTGGGGACACAAAACCAGACCCAGACTCTACATTCCTAGAACTGCTGTCCAAGCCCATACATCAGCCAAGTCTCTGCTCTGTAATGTGCTCTGATACAAGTTTGAACTGGACAAGGAACTGCTGGTCCGCACCAGCCCACTGGAACCCTCCCCCACCCTGCCCCTTGCCTTCCATCCACCTGCACGCTGCTGGTCTTGGTGAGCCACCGAGCCAGGGATGACTTCTCAGCTGCGGAAACAGAAGTAAGTTCCCCGTTGGGTGCCATGGGAGAAAGTGTTACCTCTTTATGCCGACTTCCAAAGGCAGATGCCCTCCCAGGTACTGACCAGGCCATACGCTGGGCATCAGGGGTGGGGAGCAGGGGCGGAGCGTCCATTGCTGGAGTAGCAGCGCAGGTTACCACACAGCTGGGCGGGCATTCCGGAACGTGTGCCGGAGAGATGGACGAGAGCTTTTAGCCCTGGGAACACATGCACACTTGTGCATAGACACACGCATGCGCACTTGTGCATAGACACACGCATGCGCACATTCACACTTGCGTGCTGGTTTGCCTGGTTCAGATTCTTTTAATGGCCTTATTGCTATGGTTTCCCCAATCAGCAATTCAGCCGAATATTTATTCAACATCAACTATGCGCCCAGGAGAGGAGGCAAGACACAGAAAGCAAGTGGAGATGAATCGATAGTGAAATCAGGTACTGTTAACTCACATCGTCACCAGAGATGGGGCCGTGGCAGGAAAGCCGTGGGTTGGAAAAGTTTCATGGAAGTCGGCCTGGGCCTTACGGGTGATCTAGGACCAGATTTAGGAGGTGTGGTGGGTGAGGTAGGAGTAGGGAAATACAGAGGCTGGAACAGCTAAGATGCATGCTGGACATGAGGAGGCGGCCCTGCAGTGCGGTGGGGGACAGGGCTGGCTGGGCAGGGTGTTTGGGTGGCCTGGCTAGGGCTCTGGCCTGGGCTGTGAAGGTGGTAGAGGCACCGCGGGCTCTCATGCAAGGGTGTTTGTGGGAAAGCAGTGGCGGAGTGGGGAGAAATTAGAGACTAGAACGTCAGCAGGGAGGCTCTGGTGTCACGGAGACCTGAGGGGGTGAAGGTCTGAATGAAGGGGTTGCAGGAAAGGAGAAGGAGGGCCCATGCCCATTAGGGAGCATCCTTCTCTCACCCAAAATCACCTGTGCATCTGAGCCTGTCACAGGTGATGTTGGCAAAGGGAGAAGTGGCCAGGTGTACTCACTGGGTGCTTCCCTCCACCACTCCCATGTGGTCATGCTTTCCCTCAACTGGACAAAATAAGGGCTCCTCTTATGGTTTGGGGTAAGGAGGAGAGCTCATGAGAACAGGATAGTCTTCCACTTTCAAAGAGCGCTGGTCTGCATTGTCTTTTATGTTTGATTAGATCTCCAGATTGAGCTTTTTGGAGAGCCACCTGACAACAAGACATAGTGAGGTGCCAGGGTGGAAAAGGGAAGGGGGAATGACCTCCGTGCATCCATCCATCCATCCCTCCATCCGTAAAACAAGTATTTATGAAGCACCTACTCTGTTTGAAGCAATATGTTAGGCTCTGAACATACAGTAATAAATAAGATAAACACAGTTTCTTCCCGAACGAGTCTTGCATTCTGGCAGTGAAGTCAGATTTTAAACAAATACGGATAATTACAATTGTGATAAGTACTATGAACAGTTTAGGGCACTGTGAAAATATGTGTTAGGGAACCTTAGGCAGCCCTGAGAAAGTGACTTTCAAACTGGAATCAGAAGCAAGAAGAACTAGCTACGTGAAAAGTTAGAGAAACAAAAGAACAGAATGTGTAAAGGCCCTGGGGTAGAAAGGGGCCATACCTATTGGAGAGACAGAGAGAAGTGCACTGTCACTGGGCAGTAAGAGCAAGAGAAAGAGAAGCCCCAAATGCAGCTGGTGAAGCAGGAAAAGAAATCGTGCAAGGCTTTGAAAGTATGATAGGCAGGGTCATGGGGGAGGGGGGCACCAAAGAACAAACACCACTTATTTCATAACACATTTCCAATCTGGAGTTGGCTAAGAGAGAATGGAACCGGCACAAGAAAGTGGGGGTGAGAGGGAGGAAATGGAAATTATAGGACAGCAGAGACAGGCGGCATTGCAGGCATGAATCAATGTAATACTTGCTACTTTAATGTTTATTTGTTTTAAAAATAAGACACCAGATTTCTAGTACTTCCAGGAATAGACGCCGCTACATCTTGGTCTACATTGTTCCTGCAGCCTGCGATGTGCTCATATTTTTGTTTGAGCTGGTCATTTAAGAAATCCGTCCCCGCCCCATCACTCTTCCCTGGGGCCACAGGCAAAATGGACGACCCTCTCTATTCTCCCAGAGCTCATCTCTGCAACAGCACGCACCCTGCTCTGCTGGCTGGGACTTGGGTCTGCCACATGTCAAGGTTGCCCATTAGTGATGAGCTCTCTAGGCATAGAAACCATGCTTCCGTGACCTCTCTGCTATCATATCACCTGGCAGAAAGCATGTTCCACAGAGATCTGAAAAATTGAAGGGCAGAATAAAACCTAAAAGAAGAGTTTTCTGGTGTGTCCTGAGTTTGATACTATTGAAAGCAGAGGGAGGAGGAGTTCAGTGCATAGTAATGGGTTTACCATGGGCTGCCCCTACACACATGCAGAATCCAAAAGAATATATTAAAACAGCCATTTCTTCTGGTTTGTGCTGCAGCTTCCAATTTCTTTAGAGGGTGCAGAGCGTTGGGTGGCAGGGGTGGGCTAGTCAGTCAAGACCTCTGGCTACTTCCACATGACCCCTCCACCTAGGGAGGGGCATATCAGTTCATTCCACCTGGACTTTCTCTTTCTTCTCCTCTTTCCCATAGCTCCTTCATCCTATATACCCTGTCTTTAGTTCTTTCTATCCTTCTCTTCAGCCCCTGCCAAGGTTCAGCAAACATTCAGCTATATCTAGCTCTACCCAGGTGGGGGCGTGGTGGCGCTGTATGGTGCAGGTGGGATGTCTACAAGGTGAGTAGATTTTCACCTGCTCCCCTCCTCACGTTTGCTGTGTGTCTCTGCTAAAAGAATCGATCACTTCCCTTGCCTTGAGTCCCATTCACAAATGAGCCCAGCCTTGGTATGTGCCATGTTCCAGGAATAAATAGGGTACAGGACAAAGCCCATCACCCTGGGCTTCAGATTTTTGGCTGATGACCTCGTCAGTTCCCTTGTGAGAACCTGGTTCTGGTCCCCGGCAGAGATTGTAGAACCTTTCTCTTCTGTGTCCATCATGACTTGCATGTATTTCTCTATCCACAGCTGGAGGAATCAGTCATGATCCTCCACGGTCACCACCATGTGACCTTGAAAGATAGTAGGGGCGGGAGGGGATTAAGTGCAGTGAGTGGATGGTCATGAGTATCACTTGCCTCATCCAAACTTTTATCAAGGCTACTTACAAAGTACCTGATTGTCCAATTTGATTTTAATTTCCTTTTTCTGTTTCTTCCTAAGCCTCCAGGGAATGAACAAATAACAAAAGAACCGGCATACAAAGGAAAAATTATGATGTGAGAATTTCACTAAAGAATTTAGCCCACATTACTCTGTTCTAGTTCTAAGGCCTTGGAATTGGCCCTGAACTGGGGTCTGGGGAATCTAGCATTTGTTCCCACAGTATCTTTATTAGCCAAGCAACCTGGGCTAAGTCTAAACCTCAAGGATTTTCCTGTTCCTAGCTGTCCAATTGGGCTAATGATGTCGGTCTATCCGAGGAGTCTACTGTCAGGTTAAATGTAAGGAAAGGATTGTATGAAACATGAAAAATAAGGTTGCATTTATTCCCCTTTGAAAATCACATGTCTGCCTCCAGGTCCTGCCCCCACATTGGGCAGAGTTAGAATGCAGCAGGCTTGCTTTTGGCCTCTCCTCCAGAGAGATGGGAAGCGGGGCTCCTTCACTCCCAAGAGCAAGCTGCTACTGCCCTCTAGTGCAGCATCCTGCCCAGACCTGGTCCCTGTGTCCAGCCTGCAGGCTAATGGCGGAAAATGGAGCTGTTTCTTGGCAGGGCTGTGACCAACCTTTTCTCAAAAAAAGCCTTGCCTCATACTTCTCCATGTTCTTGCTTTGGGTGGTGATTTCTGCTCTTTCTATAATATTCTAAGAACAGGTAATTTTTCAGGTGTCTACTATGGGCTGATGGGCAGTGTGCCTGCATTGAGGTGACGTCTCTCCCCGCCTCCAACCTCCCTCTGCTGCCCAGTCTCCCTTAGGAGGGGGCATCTCAAACCAGTCATCCCCAGGATGTCAGCCTTCTGGAAACATTCCGGGGATGATGACTGAGCCTCCTTCCCCCTCTTGCAGTGGAAAGGACCCAATGGGATTAAGAAGGACACTACCTACTAATCTCCTCTGTCCTCGTGGTGCTTGGTGCAGAGCAGGCATTCTGGAAGGATTTGCCTATTGAAGAATTTGTCTACTGAATGAATAATTGACCTTCAGGAGTGACTCCTGGATGGATCCTAAAACTCTACAATACATAAACATCTTTGAGAGCTACAGTGAAGAGGCTAAGAGTCAGGCACGAGAGCAGACTTGGGATTGAATTTTGGGTGCTTTATCACTAGTGGTGTGATCCTAGGCAAGTTTCTTAACATTTCTGAGCCTGTTTCTCATGAGTCAAATGGGCATCAAGGAATACTTTCCTCAACAAGAGGGTCATGAGAATTAAATGAGAAAATGCATGTGGAGTGTTTGGAAAACGATAAGCATTCAGGAAGAGGACCTTTTGGGCACATGACTCAGTTTGAGACACTGCTGGGACCCATACGAGAGTCAGGCAGCTCAGGAGAGCAGGGTGGAGGCGGCACACTTAGACAAGGAAGAGGCAGTGTCTGCAGCGATGGGCACATGTGCGTGCATGGGTGTGCACCCCTATAAGCCAGGTGTCTGGGACAGAGGATTTCCATATACCGTGCAGTCTCAGCTGAAGAGCCTAGGGTGTAGAGGTGACAGGTCCTCTCCCCTCTTGGGGTAACTGTTCCAGGAAGAGGAGTGGTCCCGAGTACTCTAGCACCCACAGAAGTCTGGTGTATGCACTAGTCATGGACTTGGTCATAAGTGTGGGAGGGGCAGCAAAAGACAAAACCTTTCCTTAATAAGGGGAGGGTTGTCCCTGGGACTCTTGGACAGCTGGGATGCTAGGACCTGGGAGCTAGACAGCATTCTGGGGACATATCCACCCCCCAGTGTCCCTGGGGAAAGTAGCAACAAGAAAATCCCTTTTCCTCCTCTCCCTAGATACCTACCAAGGGCAGGTGAACCCCTTCTCTCCCCCCTCGCAGCCCCCACCCCAGTCCAGGCTTCCAGGGGGAGGAGGGCTCCTGAGGCAGCCAGCAACATCACTACCGTGATGTTCTTGTCCGCTGTTGTTCCTGAGATGGAACATTTAAATAAGAGAATTGATGATAAATAATATTTAGCAGAAATGATCTGCTTCTGAGGAAAGAAAAATTGCTTGATTTAGACACCAGATCTCTTGTTTGACTGTTCTCAGCTCTGTGGTCTGAATTTGACCTTCAGAATGGATTGACAGAACCTCAGGGAGGGAGAGAATGCAGGCACGGCGTGTCCACAGGGTGAGGTCTGTGGGCTGAGAACAATGGCTGGCCCCGGCTCTGCGCAGTGCATCGGGAACAGACACAATAC